GCAGCCAGGAAAGTGCACATTCGTTAGCAAGTTAAACATTTCTTGCAGCTGTTTTTGGATGATTCATCAGCAGGGCCGAAAAGTTTAAGCATTTGCTTGGAATAGCTCACTTTGCTTTTTCAGGGTTTCCAAGCTTAATTTTAACGATCATGCTTATTTTGCTTATTTCAATGTATAGAGCTAAGTACGGACATTTAAGTAAACGGTCAAGAAATAAATTGCTATTATTTCGAGTGTGCGTGTGAATAGTAGTGTCCAAGGAGTTTTGACATCTGATATTTTACAGCCTGCTGTCTCACTTTTTCCTTACGAAATAATGGAACGGGCATATATTTCTGTTGAAAACAGGGGTGTCTTGTACTCTTCACAAACCAACTTTAGCAAACCGTAGTTGAAAGCGTGGCGAATTTCTTAAGAACTTCGAACTGCTTAAGAAAATTTGGCTCATTTGGTTTTCCTTGACCATTTCTTGGGTTTTTTTATTCGTCGAATTGAAGAAATGCTTACAAATAATTAAATTAAAAACAGATTTGCATTTTTGCTTAGTTACAAAAATTTACAACCAATGGTTCATCTCTACGGGAAGGCATTGGTATTATTGATGAGATTAAAAATAATTTATCTCAAATGGAGAATAAGGAATATTTAAAAAAAATTAAAGCGACCAGCGCAGATACCTATTATTTGAGAATATTAAACAGCTCTTCTATGTCTATTGTAATTTTTCAATCCTTGAAATTAACTGAATAAAATACAAAGCATTAAGCTGTACCTAATTTTGTTGTTGTTAGAGCGTAATTCTACCAAGTCGGACCTAAGTTTGATTCCGTTCCGAACAGCATAAACAAAAACTTTTTTTCTAATACCCATATATAACTAGAAGTCACCTCTCGGCAGTCATTGGCAAACCTTTTGTCTGAATACTTGTGTCGGAAAAAATTCTTGTAACATAAAATCGCGCATGCACACATTTTTAATAACCATACGTGACAAATTTTTATCACTGCGTAAACATTGTTTTTTCCAATGCGTTAAATTTAAATAAATGGCATAAATAGAAATTAAATAAAAAGGTGTTAAAAAACTTTCGCCACTTTCGACGCCACTTAAATCAATCATAGTCAAAGATAAGTATAAAAACTGCAAGTTGCAGACATATTAGCCATTTATCAAGTCCACGTGCCATTTAAGCCGTTAGCGGTGTAGCAGACAGCTAAAGTCAAAGTGCATTTACATGCAACCAGCATACTTGGAAGAGGCGGCGTAAGCGTAAATAAATACATGCACACAAACATTTGCAGACGTATCAAAATATTTGTATGTGCAGAAATGCATACGCCTTTAAAATTGCCAGCGAGACCATATTCACACATGCAAACATGTGTACATGCGTATGTACGTATATATTAGGGTGGTCCTTAAAAAATCAATCAATCTTTTCAAGATGATTAATTTTTGTAAACCATAAAGAACTTAAAAAAATTAAAAAATGCACCACTTATTCTGAAGAAACTTAGAGAAATGACAGTCTTTAAAGCTTAATATTACATGATGAATCCATTTGACGATGACTATGAGTTTATTTGAATAGTTTTCAATAATATGTCAAGTAATCAGATTTAAAAATTTTTTTCAAATTCTGGTAGCGACCTCTAAAAATTTATTTAAAACTTTGAATTTTTCGTGAATGTCTTTATTTTATACGTAGAACAAAAAAGGTTGCCCATAAAAATTTGGATGTTGATCTTTGAAAGACCACCCTGGTACCTATATATATTTACATACATTTTTGTGTCTGCCACAGCCGCCTATTTGTCTAGTGGCAAGACATTCACTTAATGCACACATAAACTGCCGCACATTTATATGCTAGTAGTATGTATGTATGTCCGTATGTACATACGAAAGTCTGCGTCTGGCGTATTTTTATTGCACGTGAAAAAAAAACAAAAAAGGTCTGACGCGATTTTTTAATTTTCTTTTACTTTTTCATTCTCCCCATTTAATTGCAATTACAAACTTTACTGCATTTTCACTTTGCATGAAAAATAGCGTAAGCCACGCACTGAAATAAAAAAAAATGCATTTGACATGTAAACGCACGACCCACCCGACCCACTGTGCCACATTTGGTGGCCTGCAACTGCAAATGAGTAAAACACAAACAAATTGAATTGAATGGAAAAAAAACGCGTTTCTGTTGCGTGCACCACATTGCAGTGTGTGGGAGCTAAAGGAGGAAGGGCGGTGAGGTTGGATGGAGTGTTGAATGTAATGTTAAATTTAGAAGTGACAGTTTGATGCAACGCTCAACAACTGAAATATTAATGTGCTCGTAAACAAACGGTTTTGTATTTTAATGAAAACATGGACTTATGTATGCTTGTATTACCATTCATGTGTGTCGCGTCGCACTAAGCGCGTCAATGATGATTTAATTAAGCTGCAGAAATTTAATTAACTTGCAAATGCATCACCTGCATTTCTCCGCACGGTTTGTGTGTGGTATCAAAAACTTATAATTTATTTATAAGCGGGAAAACATGAAAGAAGTATTGCATTTGTGTTTTTTTTTAACTTTTAAGAATTGGTTTCATTGGAAAGTATAATTTTTCAAGGTATTGATTACAGTACGCTACTTTGTCTAAAACGCTTCTCATTTATATAACTTGGATAACAACTTACAGTGGCGGTCAAAAATGGATGAATGGTGTCTCATTTTTACAAGCTTTTATTAATATTTACCAGGGACGTGAACCGGTTTTGAACCGAACCGGTTTTGAACCGGAAAACCGCTTTTTTCTATTAATTAACTGAACCATTAACCGAACCGAAATTATCCACAAATGTTTGATCCGAACCGAAAACCGAACCACTTTCCATAAAAGGTTTAAAGGTTCGTTTCAACCAATTTTCAATAGATAAATGTACCCACTATTTTTTCTTTTTGTTAAACATGGTAATACATACCATGTTTTTTTACCATGTGAGAATATCAATGGGTTGCCTACCCGTCTCATTTGACAGACCGCTTAACCTTGCGCGTTGTTGCACTTGACACTTGACACTTAAACTTGCGCGTTATTTTTTTTTTTTTCGAACCGTTGAACCGAAGCAAAACCCCGGTTCAAAGACCAAAAAAACCGCTTTGACGAACCAATCCAAAAGTGCAAAAACGGTTCGAACCGCTGAACCGAACCGACCAAATTTTTCATCCGGTTCACGTCGCTGATATTTACAATGTTTTTCAAGCACCATTATTTTTTATAAAAATATGGTTCATGCTTTATTAAAAACTATGTAAATCACACTTTCAAACTTCGTGCAGGATTTAGAAAAATTCAACAATATTTTATCTAAATTTCGAGCTTTCTAACCAGAATTTTTTAAAAAATTTTTGAGTAAGCAGTTAACAGACTTATAAAATTTTAGTAAAGTAAGTGCAAGTTTTGCGCGGCTAAAAAATCGCATTGATTTTTAAGAATTTTTTTTTTAAGCTGACGGCTTTTGCGGTTTTTTTTTCATATAAATAGAGAAGTTTGGTAAAACTGGCGTTGACTTTAAAAGCTTGTTAACTGCATACCCAAAAAATTTCCAAACATTTTGGTTAAAAAGCTCGAAATTTAGATAAAAATTTGTGTAATTTTTCTAAGTTCTGTATAAAATTTGAAAGTTATTAAGTTTACGTTAAAGAACGAACCATATTTTTATAAAAAAAAAAATGTTTTGCTTGAAAAACCTTATAGATATTAAAAACGAGACACCATTCATTCATTTTTGCCCGCCACTGTAAATATTTAATTCTTTTGTTATCCAAGTTAGATAAATGAGAAACGTTTTAGAGCTAGAACTTGATTTGGACTTCAGGGGTTCTTGCAGTTTGAACAGAGCTTAACGCATTTGTTTAATGTGAATGCAAAATAAGACATAGTGTTGCAAAGGCAGACTACCTTCGTATGTTCGTACTGTCATACAAATTTGACGAGCTGTGAAATGTGTAAAAATATGTTAGTTTTATAACTGCATTCTTCTGCTTTTAAGCGCAACTTGTTTTCCTCGATTAAAGCACAATTTGAAAACTTAATTATTCACCCTTAGTCCGATGTCATCTATAGGAACTTTCCACTATGCCTGAGTGACTCGGCTATCATGATATTTAATCAAGCAGTTTAAACTTATTTTCTAATCCAAAAGTTTTCCTACACTGTCCTAAAAGATGTTTGCTAAATTTTTTTCCTTCCATAATTTTCAGCCAAATTATAAATTTCACACTCTATCAAGCAGAAGTGAGTACAAACACAATGACGCGTTAACGCTATAAGCATATTTATAGGCGCTTAACATTTTACACGTCTCCAAAAATACATAATCGTATATATCCTATATTTAATTGTAGCTATATATGTAAATATGTATGCGTAGAGCCATGTAATCACACACACAGGCAAAATGTAGTGACTTTCAAAATAAACCTTCGCATTCTAAATAACATCGATTTTGACACTTTATGTCGAATTCCAAGAAAGGCGGTGAAAAGCAAATTAAGGGGATGCCTCAACTTTAGTTGCTTCAGGGAAAGTTGTGAACTTATTTGTTAGTGTGTACTAGACGAAAATACAATTTTTACGTGCTTAAGTGAAATGAAAATATGTATGCATTTACATTGAGTGAATGTGTGCGTATATATATACATACATACATACATACACATAACTGCGCAACCAAATTTGGTGCTTGTATTCTTTACTGGCGAATTGACCCAAATATTTTGCGTGCTTTTGTAAGCTTTGTGCTCCATGAATGAGCAATCTTCGATGCGTTGGCATTCCATGTACTATTAAGGTTTTTTTTTATAAAGGCGGCTTTAAGCGCCCAAAAGTATGCTATTCATTCCCAGTTAATGTCACTTTGCTGGAGTTTCATTGAGAAGATTTTGTTATTTTCCGAAGAATGTACTAAGTTTTCTAACCGCATTTCCGTTTCATTTATATTTTCAGATATACATACAAAGCAAAGCTGTTGTGAGAGTTTTAGCCCGCTGCTGTCGAATTGATTTAAGAACCAGTGTCGGAGACGTGAATGCTGTGGAATGCTGTGCGTGTGACAAAGAACAGATGTCGCTGTAGAAAAGTTGTAGGCGAACAGCGTTTTACGAAGAAAAATACATTAATGCAAACCACAGGAGTGTAATGTTTTATCCTCCTTCGCCTAAGTGGTGTGTCTGAAGTGCCAGTACATACTAAGTGTGAATTTGAAAAGAGGCGACCTGGGCATTCAAGTGGTTTGGCGATCAACAAGCAAAACAAGAGTAAAGCAGGAAAATAAGTAATTCCCATAAAATAAACAATAGAAGTGAGTAATGCAGCGATAAAAATATGGATCAATGTTAGAGCAGGCCGTCCGACACGTACTACATTAGCAAGGAAGTAAAATACGCAGAGCGAGAAGAAGCTTTTTAACCGACATCTAAAGCAAACAGAAGACAATATGTTTCTTCCTGTCAAATCAAATATGTAAGTATATGCAACGGGTTCGTTAAACATTTACGTACATTTGTATTTTGTCTAAATAAAAAAAAAATCCCAAAAGAAGCAAATAAAGTACAATTTAGGTCTGTTTTTCAAATGCAACCCTAAAACAGCACATTTTTATTTCGACGGGTAGTGTCATTTTGACGCCAAAGGCATGGATTTTTCATGCGTCTGTCGCCGTGCCACAGCACTCTACTGCACCCTTAACATTTATTACAGGCATTACCCTACATACGAGCACAAAAGTATTAACTGCTTACTTACTGTTGGGAGAAAACATAAAAGTGTTACTGCGCCAACAAAGTGGTGTGATTACGGTGTTCACAGTGATTAAGCGCACACATTAATATCGATGTAAAACATTGACTACAATGGCCACTCATTAAAGCCCGTAATATGCAGGCGTACCCTGTAGGAAATTGTGGCAGAAATTTGTTGCCTATGAGTAAGCATTTTTTCTTTTAATTTTCTTTTTGCTACAATTCTGAGGCATTGATAATCTTTTTAGTTTTTAGCAGAACTAGTTGAAAACATATATGTGGTGGGTAAGGTTAAATCTGAACTATCAAAGATTTCCATCATTGTTTACATAGTTTTTACCCCAATAAGTTAGATACTGGCGCCAAAGCTTTAGCGATAAAAGTGTGTACAGTAATCTTCAAAAAATTTCTACAACATTTGCTAATAATTTTTTGGACTACAACGCGATTTCTTTTTGAAAAGACTATTAAGAAAAAAATGCGTTAAAATATCGTCTTAAACACATATCAGCCTGTCGGTGCTGCTTAACTATCAATCTATCCTCCCGAACTAGCGTAAACGCTAGGGAAGGCATTATTGAGGAGTTGGGAGTGGTTGTAAACGCCTGATAAAACCAGAACATGTCTTTCTAACAGGTGAAAGTCCTACAAAGTACCAGCCACTATGTATGGAATTAACTTTTAAATGCGTTAGGAGTAGCTAACGACAATTTCATTGGCTCTCCGTTACGCATAAGAACAAGGCTTTCCCATTTTTTTTCCAATAGCGGTCGCCCCCTCAGCAGGCAATGACAAACCACTGCTGCCATGGAAAAGCTTCTCATAAAAAGCCACGTGCTTTTTGGATTCGAGGTAAAACTATAAGTCCCTCCATTTGTTACTAAACCTTTATCTACGAATCCCACATAAGGTTATTTTATGTACTTTGGAATCGTCGGCGAGTACCTGCCCGCGAACAGACCTATTTGGGCCGGCTGTAATATGTACCAAATGGAATCCCTGGGGATGGTAAAAAGTTCAGGCGGTTACAAAACCACTTTGTTGACTATAGGAATTTTGCAAACCCTGCGTAATCTTTTTTTCTTTCTGGCATAAAAGATGTTTCACATTTTTCATTGCTTCCCTTTGGGAGCCCATGTTTACTGTTCCCCGAATCACACAAACCACTTATGTTGTCCAGAAATCACCACAATGCGAGTAGGCATTTGGTGTTTGAGGCTAACCCGGGACCAGTCCAGTCGCTCCAGCGGTTTGTCATAGCTGAGGTAAATACGCTTTTTTAAAAGAGTTTTTCCTTTAATATAGTGTGAAACAATTTTCTGTCATTCATTGTAAATTTTGGTTTGTGCACAACGGCTTCGGTGCTGTGCCATTTTTTTTTCTTTAACTTCAAGTGATCCCTTAACTACTAAGGCCAATGATTGAGTAGTAGTTTCTGTGGAAAGGCTTATTGAACTAAAGGCTTTGGTTCCATTTTAACTATTTCTCTCTATATCTCTCTGGTTATAAATGCCAAGTTTAATCCAATTACCAAATCCTACAGGGTACTTTATGAAACAAATTCGCTCACCATTACACACCTACTTGCTTACTACTCTCCCCTATGCATTTGCCTACTTACAAGCACTAAAGTTTCGCATAGTAAATAATTACATTATTTTACTTAAAAAGAAAAAATGTTGTTAACATGAAAATGACATCGCCTTCTACATTCATGCCACCCTAAAAATTGTTCCCCCTTCTCGTATATTGTGCATACATAAGTGTACTAAGAAAAGCAAAAGTCATCACAAAAGCCAAAACATAAAATGTTCGTTGCTATGTACTTTGACCAGTCACTTTTGTTTTGTTTGTTTGTTTTCCCTTGTGTTTTTTTCGTATTGTTCTACAATTTATTGGCAATTTCTCTGTCGCCCGGCTGTCTCGCTGCCATTACTATTTGTCTGTGTTGTGGACATTATCTGCTTTTAGGCGCTGGAGCAGTGAAAGTGCATGCAAGTATGGGAAATGAATAGTTTTTAGGCTTTAAAATTTAGTTAAATTTCGGGTATTTAAAATTATACGAACTCTGTAGTATTTCTTACACTAAAATTGCTAAAAGGCAAAAAACGACAGTTACTCCTTAGATTGCAAAACAGTGTATCTATGGACGTATCAGCGGGCGAGGCTTTTTCTGTGTTTTTATAAGAACACGCAAGTCTTTTATAACTCGAGAGCGATTTTGTTTCAAGCTCTTTTATTTCTGCTTTAATATGTACACTGCCGGCAAAAAGTATTGGCACAGCAAATTTTTCACAATATATGCAAAACTGTTTTTTCTAATATTTTTCCGCCAATTTTTTATAAAAATATGGTTCATTCTACAACAAAAAACATAAAAATAAAATTCCTAAACTTTGAGCAAAACTCACCTAAATTCACCAAATTTTCAACTTTTTAATCAGATTTTTTAGATTTTGTTTAGTATGCTGTTTTACAGCCCATTAAATTCTTGTAAAAAGCATGCAAGTTCGGAGTTAGTCAAAAATCGCATTGATTTTTGAGAATTTTGTTTGTTGAAGGTGTTTTGCATTTTTTCCATATTAAGTATTTTCGAAAAAATTTTTTTGTATTGAAGCGACTGCATGAAAAAAAATACGAAAAATCAACGGTAATTCCTAGCTACTTAAACTTTATCATAATAAGATTGATTGTACTACAAATCTGCGTACCCAAAAAAATTCTAAAAAATATGATTAAAAAGTTAAAAATTTGCATGAAAATTTTTTTAATTTTCGTGAGGTTTGCTCAAAGTTTAGGATTTATATTTTATGTTTTTAGTTGTAGAATGATCCATATTTTTATAAAAAAATTGGCGGAAAATATTAGAAAAAAAAATTTGCATATGTTGTGAAAAATTTGCCAGTACTTTTTGCCGGCAGTGTACATAAATTCCACAAAAAAAAACAAATTTCATTATAAACTTCTTGACTTTTTTAATTCGTCGTAAGAAGTTATGGAGAAATATTTATTTGTTGGTCAATCATATTGTGGGTAAAATTTCATTCACTTAAATGCTAATTTCGTATGACATGTAAAAGATTTGCTTCATAGCTTTCATTTGCAATTGAAAAGTTAGTAGTCCCATTTAAAAATCGCGAACTCGTAATGATTATCCCAAAATGTCCACACAACCAGCCCAAAAACCCAAAATGGGCAACTAAATTGCATTTCAAAAATGCCTTTAGCTACTCGACAGCGTCAAACTCAATCATGCAAAGCCGCAAAATGTTGTCACTAAAACCCTGTGACTGCCTAAAAGGTAAATAGGGGGGTGAGAAAAAAGCGACGGGCTAAAGTGTGAAAAATAAGATAAAATGCGGACATGTCAGTAATCTCTGCCAATGTTTGTGGCATTTTCTGCATTTTTACAAACACATGTACACGTACGTACACATGTATGTATGCAGGTCTACATTAGAGTGATCCATAAAATATCATCTAAACTTTGTTTTACGTACAAAACGAAGACTTCCACGACAACTACAAAATGTTCAAACAATTTTTATTGCTCGAAATCAGGATTTTAGAAAGCTTAAATTAAAAAAAATCGCGAAAATTTGTCAAAATTTTGGTTTGAAATCTGATAAATTTAACATATTATTGAAATTTATTCTCATAAAAATTAAATTCATTCAAATCCTAGTTGCGAACCAACGTTTGTTTCTTAATTTTGAAACTTTCGTAGATGACTTTATCTTGCAGCTGGAACGAAATAAAAAGGGGCCCATGATTTTGATACTTATTTTTCAGTACCACCCTAATGTACATCCATACATGTATTTGCATGATGGCAATGATACGCCAGTAAACTAACACACTAAAATAAAAACCAAGCAAAAGTGTTGATGTGACATGGGCTGACAGTGCAAAGGACCGCCAAACTGAAGCAGAATGCTCACACACTCGCGCGATTTTTACATACATATAAATCGACCAGCATATATCATTCATGCTAAGCCAGGCAAATTTTTCAACATGATTTGCCAATTTGTTTCGTCTGCAATGCCATCCCATTGCGGAAATTCAGTTCAATTTCAATTTTTCGTTCAGGCCAAAGAGATATCACAGCACTTGCCAAATGTTGGTGTTGTTGCGATAAGAAAATCATCTCTACTGGGCAAATGTACCTACTTACTAATATGCCCATAGATAGTTGGCGGAAATAGGAAAACAGCACAGACAGAAAGGCAGCCAGTGAGGTCAATGGAAAGCAATTCCGGCCGAGTCAGGTCAGGCCAATCAATTCAATGTTTCGATTGCTAGTGCAGAGGAGATAGAGAGCCTGTCGTTTAAGTAACATTACACTGTGTGTCCTATTAAATGCAGTTTGAAGTTGAAAATTTGGATTCTTGTTGCATAATTCGTTCGATTTTCCAAAGTTAGGTGTCTATGTACAAGGATTGGACTGTAGATGTGCAGTGGTTTTATTTTTTATTTTTTGAAGGGTTGTCACTTGCTAAAAAAAAATTCAAATTATTTACTAAATTTATTGAATTAGATAATACAATATAGAGGTTTACGCCGACAGGCTTTGCGGCGGCGGCGTGTTCAACTTCAAAAAGAATCGGCGGCGGCGGCGACGCCGGCGCGTCTGGAAACGCCGGCGCTACTGCCCATAAGGTAGAGTCCAAAGAGCCATGAGGCTTCTAATCTCATCATGTCATCAGATTATAATTCTATTTAATTCATTCATTGAATTCAAATGTTGAGTGACTGCTGCTGATGGATGGGCGAACAGAAGAAAGTCTATATAGTATATACATTAGGTTTCCCATTGAAAATGATTTTTTTCGTAAATTTAAAGACCCTACCCCCTAATTTGATTCGTTTTTATGAGAAATATTATTGCCTATTTTTATAGATTTTTTAAAGGCCATTTAGAGGTCGCGGCCTGTCGATTTAGGTCAGAAAATACGATTTTCTAGATTCATGAGTTTTTGAGAGACTATTTTTGCTTGAATTTCAATGAATTTTTTAAATTTTGACCATCGATAATTTCCACAATTTGAAAATATGTAGTACTAAGGTACAAAAAAACGATTTTCGATGGGCACCCTAATATACATACATCTCTATGTACTCTAAAAATGCGTATGTACTATTTCAATTTAAAGAAATAAAAAAATTTAAAGGTTAAGTTATTGGGGTAATTTATGTCGCTATCAATAAAGTTTTGCAATAAGCTTTCAACCGTTATGTTAAATTACGGAGTTCTTACGAATTTTTGCGGGTTATATATTGAAAATAAGGTTGGCCTACTTTTTTCCAAAAGTTTAACCCATCAACTCCCACCACAACGGGCCTTTTTGACCCACTGTTTGAAAAATGGCTTATAAATAGTTAAATTTCCAATAATATATTAAGTGCCAAATTTTTCTAAGGAGAACAGAATGTAATGCAAAATAATAGTAATTTTTACCAAAAAGGGGGACTTCAACTCTGTGTAGAAAATATTGCTATGCGCGGGAGCAAAACCTTCCTGGGGTTTGACCACTACTTAGGAAAAAAACTTTTCTACCCTATTCGACCCTAATTTAACTGTAATAAACGCTGTCGATCGAAAAACATGTTACCTATATATTTTTCTGAGTTACGCTTTTTTTTTAAATGTTCAGTGGCCCAAATTATGACAAAAAAACATCTTTTAAAAATGTAATTTTCATTTCGTAAAATAGTGCTTTTATACGAGTAGTATTTAGTTCCTTCAAACGATGTATTTCAATGTGCATACAACATGAAAATTTTGTACAAAATTCCCTAGGCGCCGAACGCCGCCGCCGCCGCCGCCGCGCCGATATTTTCGTAACTCGGCGGCGGCGCGTGAGAAATGACAAAAAACGGCGGCGGCGGCGGCGTGGCCCGGCGGCGTATACCTCTAATACAATATGGGTACCAATCGAAATGGGTTTGAAAAGGCTTCAATTCTAAACTACATATAAAAGGGCTGCCAACTGTTTAAAAAATCAAATATACTTTAATTAACGGAATTGGGTAGCTGAAGTACATAGAAAGAAATAAAAAAATATTGATAGGCGCAGTTAATATAATGGTATATAGGCAATCGATTTATGTTGAACTTTCTTCGAAATCAGTTAAAATTTTCAGTTCAGATTTAGTTATTTAGTTTATTTTTAGTATTAAATTTTTGTTGTTTCTATGGTATTTACCTTGATAAATATAAGGTTGTTTCACTTCAAATCGCTTTCAATTTTTGTATGGCAATACGATTTTGCAAAGTGCAAAAAAGTAGCATATTTTTTTTAATTTTTCAACAGATAAAAGGCCATACTTTTGATTTATGGAATAAAGAAAAACATGGTTTTACATGATTTTTAGATTTACTCCTTTAAACTTTAGTAATATTTTTATTTTCAACAAAATAAATTTGCATTTAAAATATAGCGAGTCTAAACTACAGAGTTAAAATTTTTTTAACAAATCAATTTTTTGCAGTTATTTTAAATAATATTAAATGGAAAAATTTAAAACTTAACTTAATATCTCATAAGTTGCTTTTTTGACAGTTTTTCCCATGTAGAACCTAAAACTGATGTGGCTCTGACTAAAATATCTGTTTTAAAATGCGTCAACTTCAAGGACCCTTTTGCTGTGTATTATTCATTTTATACAAAAATTGGGACCGGAGCCTTTATAATGGATAAATTACCTTTCCAACAATATAAATTACGTCTATATTTGGGACAAACAAATTTTTGATTTTTGTCCGCTCGCACAGCACTGTGCGACAGTGAGATATTTATTGTAATGTTTGCTAGGTTCGACTGACAAATAACTATATGTTAATCTCAAGCTGGTCCTTGAAATTGATATCAGATCTAAATCCATTTTCAGTTGTATTCGAAGCAAGTAAGTTTTCCGATTTAAATCCTAACGAAATGCAGAATCTTTAGTCCGATTGTTGAAGTGCCCTAGAATGTTCTTGTTTATCAAATCATTTGGGTTTGGAATCTACAATTAAGTACAAAGCAACCCTAGCTATCTTATCGGCAGCCCTGTATGCTGGAAATTTGGTATACCGCGTTGTAATTTATCTTATTAAAATTATGAAAAATATCAGGGCCTAAATTTGAAGATAAGGAGCCAAATATGGCAGCAAACTCATATATTTGAAACATAGGGAATTTTCGAAAAACTCCAGAAAGAACATATTTCAACAGTCCTTTAAAAGTTTTGACGCCTTTGAAGCTTTTTCCAACTTCTTCTCGTTCGATCCCCTCACAGGTCTTATCCAAGATTTGGTCTATTATGGACCTAAAGCAACACTTATAAGACCTATGCAGTTTATTGTCATCATCATAATCTTAGCTGCCACTGCTGGCAACTCTCAGTTGGGTGCAGAAGTGTGTCCTCCTGAGTTAAAGTGTGCTCTGGATATCCATCACCTCTTCACTTTCTGCCTTACCACTATTACCCTTAGCACACTCATTCGGCTGGAGTTGCAATTAATCGCAGCATGCCCCAGGAAGCGGAAGCGTGACATTTCTTGTCGTATATTTCTTTGAGGATGGGTTTGGCGATAATGTCTTGTTGAGTACATTCATTTGCCTAGCAAATAGATGGACGCATGCTAGGTCCAAAACACTGGAGGGTTGAATTCGCCAATACAATATAATCAATATGGGTTGACCTGCTCATATTGTATGCCGAAAATTGCCGCCGGTGAACCCAAGTTGGACGTTTCTTGTGCAGGTCGAATCTTTCGACTAAAATTACCTTCTTTGCCCATCCTGGCATTGAAGTAGCCAAATCCAAACATGAGCAGGGCTATGCCCCTCATCAGCTCATAGAAATGGTTCTTAGCTGCGTCCTCCTCCTCAGCAGTACTTAGCGACAAAGTCTCCCGTCGCAAAAAGGACATTGAATCTGAACTCCTGAAACCTGATATTTTTACCTTGCAACGATCATCACATCTCTTGGGTGGCGGAGATGTCTGCCTTTGATTTTACGGTCTTAATCGGAATATTTTTCGCGACTCGTACGCAAGAGGATTTAGTTAAAAATTTGTATGTATTTTAGAAATTTTTACCTGTAAGTGCGAAGATTTTTTTCGTCAGTATTAAGATCGCAAATTAGATCATATTTATATAACTGTTTTTCTCCATACATACATACATATATCCATTAGTTAAATTCATATACTTTATCTCATTGCAGCTCCACGGAGAACAATTCAGCCGGCGGGAATAACGAGGACGTCACCACCACCAGCAATAATTCCACACAAACGCCCAGCGACTTAAGCCCACCGGGTCCCAATGAAGAGGTACTGCCACAGGCGCATCATCAAAATCCCGGACATTGCATCGCTTCCTTTGCGGCAATCAATCAAATGCGCAATAACACGCAGGTGTGTAAACGAGCATAAACTCATCCATACATACATATATATACAAATTTACAAGTGTTTTTAATTAGCGATAAGCGAAAACATTTAGCATGTGAGCAATAGGCCGTACAGTGTGGCACTTCTCGCTGGAGTAATTAATCAAAAAGATACTGTGTTTGTTTTTGAGTTTTAATAAATAATTGAGTTGTTTACCGTTACCCTCGCGGTAGCTACGTAGTACGTACTAGCTGCTGGAGAAGTCATTGCTCCCGCATATTTAAATTTTCCGCTGTAATTTAGTAGTCGCTTGAAATCATTGAAGCGCACGCTAGCGTCACGCACTCACGCTCATTGGCGCACACCGCCAATTTATTGAAGCTTCGCATAGAAATGTGAAATTAGAAATTTTTCGCGCGAATTAGTAGATATATATGTACATATGTATGTATGGGTGTGATATTCATTTTTCAATTTCATCTTGATAATTCATTTAATTTGTGCCAGCGGCGTTAATTTAACATTTAGATACATATGTGTATGTTAAGCATAGGACAGAAGTCACGCTTAACGGTGCTTTAGGTCAATGAAATATGTATTTTTGTGTGGCACAAATATGCATATATTAATAGCTTAATGACTGAGTACGAAACTAAAATAGCTAGTGGCAAAAAATATGATAAAATTCAGTTGAAATAGTTATGCCTTCTTCGCCTTTAAAAATGTAAATATTCTGCTTGATATTCGTTTTTATGTTCAACTTCATAGTCACATCCGTACTCATATCCATGAGCTTGTTAATTTTTTTACTTATGCATATATGCATAAGTACGCAGTCATACTCATAATTATGCCCATGCTGATACTCATCATACTCATAGTTATATATAAACTCTAACTCATACTTAAGCACATAATCACATTCACTTGGATTTTAATATTCGTACTCATGTTCATACTCATGCTTATATTCACACTTATAACATACTCATAATCATTTTCATATTCATATTCGTATTCATATTCATACTTATGTTCATACTAAAGCTCATAATCTGATTCCTATGCATATTCTTACTCATGTTCATAGTCATAATCATACGCATACTCATACTTATACGCATGCCCATGATCATATTCATATTCAAACTCATACTCATATTCATTTTCATGCTCATATCATATTCATATTCAAGCTCACACTCATATTCATTTTCATACTCATAGTTACCTATGCTCTTACTAAGAATAATTTTCATATTTATACTCACTCTCATGTCCATATCCATACTCACACTTATAATCGTACTCAGAGTTACTCATGGTTCATATTCATATTCAAACTCATAATCATTAATTTTCAGACACATACTTGTACTCATACTCTCTCTCCTGGTCATATTCATACTCATATTCATGGCCATACTCATACTCAAGCTCACGCTAATATTCATTTTCATACTCATAGATACTTATACATATTTAATTATACTCATACTCGTGCTTATGTATGTATGTAGATACTCATACTCGAAGTTTTAAATTCATACACTTATTTATTTTAATTTGTATTTTGTCAAGGGTATAAATGTACATAGATAATCACACGTAAATTAACCTCGCTTGTTTAATTCGCGATTACCACCAACACCGCCAATTTTGTTGTCAAGTCTCAAGTGCCACTGTAAACTACGCGTCCACTGCTAAACGTTCATACGGTAGCTAATCTTACACATCAATTTACTTGACCATTGCGTGCCGACTGAATGGAACTTTGACTTTAATTAATAATAAAAGTTGACAAGTATTAAACGTTTGCTTAAGATACTAATTTGTATTATTACGTGTGTATTTCTATCTACTCCTACTCTTGTTATTTTACTTTTCCTCGTGGCTACAATTTCCCATTATGCTCTTGAAGAAAACTAGACACTACAACTTCCCACATCTACGGCCTTAATTTCTGCCTCCAACCTATCTCGAATCAAAAATCAATTAGGGACAATTTAATTGTGTATAATTTTTTCTGTGCTCATTGTTTCGTGAATAATTTTGGCACGCAGCTGCTTTGTTGCTGTCGGCCACCAATTTATTCTTACTTGAGTGGGTAGCAAGCAAATAGAATCAGCAAAATGCCATCAAAATATTTTACTCAATCATCGTTACCGCCTTAGGTTCATAAATAATAGCCGCCGTAATTGCTGTTATACTTTGATTGACATCTTTGCGAAAAACTTTATCTGCACGTGGTAAACAATGTTGATATTTGTATTATATATGTACATGTAGGTATGTGTATATGCGTGCCATGTAAGAGGCTACAATTTTGTACATAGACGCAATTTGGCATCTTAGTGTGCGGGGGCGTATGAGTGCTCTGCTCAATGCTCTGCTTTTGGATGCTGTTTTAGCTGCGGCACTTTTGTGGGATTGGCTTGGCAATATTTTTATACGATTGTAAGCGTTGTGCGTAGTATATAGGCGCTTAGTTGTACAATTGTACAAATTGAGTCTTACAACTGTTCGATTCAATTGAAAGAAATCAAATTGAAAGCTCGGCCTAAATCTGTCATTGGTGTAACTTTTTTGATCTAATCTTATTAATAGATATGTATGTATTTGTGTTGCTGTTGTTGAGTGGCGCGCAAGTGGCTGTAGTAGGCGTTCTGATTAAAGTCAATAAGCAAATTAAATACTGTAATTATGATTTCTTAGCATTATTAAGTATTTCTTGGCGAATGATAATGAGATGTGTTAATTGAAGATTTATTCTCATAATTTTGTGATTGATGATATTATTTTTAATTAGAGCGCTGTATATATTTTCATAATAAAAAATAAGTGTCCGATTAATTAAGTAGAAAATTTTCATTAATATTGTCATAAAGTATATCAAGTCGACAATTGTAATCTCTGAATTTTTTTGTGAATTTTACTTACATATGTACTCTTTCAAACTCTAGAAAATTGCATTGCAATTGTCTTAATCAATTTGCCATTCACAAGCATTACAGTATAACATTCAATAGCCCTAGTATTTAATCAAAGCAGGCAATTATACACATTAAAGTACAAGAGATTTTAATTAATGTACTGATTTTGTAGTTAAGCATTTTCTGTATTAACTTTTTTTTATGGCAAAAGTGACAGCAAAGAGCGATTAAAGAAATCTCTGTTGAACTCCACATGCACTTATCGCACGGCTTGGTGCACTTGCTTAATTATTTAGTTGACTACATATGTACATATTTCTATATACATCATACTTTACATACACAATTGTATGCATGTACATTAGGGTGCATCACCAAAAATGGTTGCGGCTTTTCCACCGGAATTAAACAAATTTCTATATTTAAGGCTTCCACTGAAATATTTCGGAAAAATATTAAAAGCTCAGTTAGTCTATACTTAACTTAACTTACGTAAGAAATCGTCAATGATTACCCAATACGTCAACGTGTCTAGAAGCGAAAATATTTTGTTTTTGTAATTTGCTTTTCAGCTGATTATCACTTTGCGCGCCCATAAGCCACTTCAAAAAAGTCCTAAACAAAAATATATTGCGCTGGCTAATATATTAGGTTAAGTCTAGACTAACTGAGCCTTAGATTTAAGTGAGCTGCAGCGATTTGAAAATACCTGTTATAATCTCACTATTTTAATTCGTTTGATAAAATTTTTTACCATTTTTATAAATTTAAAATTTTAATATTCCGATGGAAAAAAGTGCCGATTTTTTTTATGGAGAGTGATGCACCCTAATGTTCATACATGTATTTGCATATATAAGTAAGCACTACTTGTATGTATATTCATGTTTCATAGATTGTATATTTTCCGTCCATTTTCGCCTTTTCCCACCCACCCAACGGCAACAACTGCCGTTCATTACAACCAAAATGACTTAAACGTTCGACGCCCTGCAGGCAAAATTTCATGCAAGTTGTATGAGTACACACTTGCTCCTATGAGTACCTACCTCATCTACTCGTATGCACCGCTGAGCATAACAGTGCTCTTCTTCTTCCGTTGCCACAGGGATCACAGACATGGTGTTAACGTTAGAATGAATGTCCATATGTAAATATGTATGTAGTTGTTAGGAAGACCGGAAAGAATTTATACGTGTAGTAGACAGTACTGCGAGCATGTGCATAGTTCTCAAAAAGCAGGCACATATACAGGGTGACTATAAATATATAGAACGCACTTTTGAATTATATTAATGAAAAGCTTCCGCACCGTAGGGCCTGGGTTCAAAGCCTGGTCAAAGCAACATCGCAAAAAAATTTAGGAACAGCGGTCGTCGCTCGACAGACAATGGCAAACCTACGAGTGTATTTCTGCCATGAAAAACAGCTTCTCATAAAAATACAATCGCCGTTCGGAGTCGGCGTACAACTGTAGGTCCCTCCGCTTGGTGTGACAACATTAAGACGCACGTCACAAATCGGAGAAGGAGCTCGGCCAAACACTAACATATGTTTAAGCGCCAATCTATTATTATTATTATAATGAAAAGTTATCAATTTCTAAACTAAAATTTAAATTTCTCATTTAAATGTGTATGTGTGTCTAAAGTACTTGTACTAAGATATTGTCCGCATAGCTATAACTCGCGATTCCAATACACTCAGAAAAATGGCAGCTAAAAATATGTCTCTCAACACATGAAAACATATTTAGTTGACCTAAATAAACTCTTTTTTTCAGTGTAAAGATCTCAATGATTATCAAAACGGCTGCTTTGAAGATAGAGCACATACAGCGGTACTCCACATATCTAATTATTATGGGTTTTATGACTCAGGTCGCCCTAGATTCCGGATATAAGGTCACCGTATTATTTGATCCCTCACCTGAGTTTCGTACGGTCCCTTTCACTGAGAAAAGAGTTTGATTACTTCAACTAAATATACTATATCTCTCAGCACTTGATTTGAGTGTAGTTACGAAATTTGTCTTAAGAGAAATATATTTATATATTAAATTTACATTGACAGTTCCAAAAAATTAAAGAA